TTACTGTAACTAAGGCAGTTAAATATTCTCAAACTATTATATAAGTCCCTAAAGAAGAATAGTATAATACTACTGTATGCTTTCTAGAATACTAGAAGCTACCGAATAATAAACTTACTATAAGGACTATCACTAGGTTTACTCTAAGCCTAAGCTTATACGATAATAAAGATATAGGAGAGTATATACTAATCTTTACCTATAAGGATAGACTCTATATACCATTTATAGAGCAAACCTTCTGTAAAGATCTATTATATTAGGTATATAAGGAATTCAGTTATTTAGGCTATCCAGGCCTAAATAGAGTAGTCAAACTATAAGGTTAGTAGCCACAGATAAGATACAATATTAAACAAATATCTAAGAACTACCCCAAATATTAGGTTTCTTAAGGATTAAGAAAATTATTAGAATAAGAGATAGCGCAGTATATAGTAACAGTAGAAATTTGCCTGTTCTAGAGATAGGGAATTAACTTTATTAGTTAATTACCAATAATACTAAACAGTAACTAATAGATTATTATTACTATTAATTATATAACTAGGTAGCTAGTTATACAGGCTATTCTAAAAGCAGACAAAGAGACTATCAGACAGTTTCTCTATAATTAAATCTTTATAGATTATAGTGCTCTGATAAAGCTTATATCAGCTTAAAGTATAAGTTTTATATTAGGTATAGTTATATACTACTTAAAACTTATACAGACAAAGTATAGGATAATAATCCTTTATTACCTATAAACAAACAGTAAGGTTAAAAACTTTAACAGTTTAATTAGTCGAATGCTTACGAAATATCTTATAAATAAACCAATAAAGGTATAGGACTTATATCTGTTAACTATAACAGTAGCTGTATATTATTATTAATATACAAATATAGGTTTTAGTCCCTATTACCTTATATATAGAATATATCTACGATTACCCAGTAACGATTTAGAACTCCTTTAGTTATTTAGTAGTTATAAGGTTAAGTTAGAATATATATAGGACGTAAGAACAAAAGTAAATAAACTCCTCCTAGTATATATAATCCGGACGAATTAGGTCTATAACAGTCTAGTTATAAAAATAAGCTTTTAGAAAGATACTTAGGTTCTCGTCAGAAACAAAAATAGCAAAAAGTTTAAAAGTAAGTGGTTCAGACTGTATTAGGTCCTTAAAAGCTATCTACTTAGGATATACGCTCTCGAAGAGCTAAATAGCCGTATACTAAGGAATCTTATTAATAGATCTTAACTTCTAAAAGCAAATATAACAAATCCTATACGATTATAGACGTTACCAGTAGTAAGAAACACTATAAGGCGGGCCAGGATTCACTTAAGGTAACCTAAGGAGCTGTAGAAGATCCTTAAAAAAAGAAGATTCCCCTCCTATATACTCAGATTTATCTATGTTTACTTAAGAAGAATAGGATAAACTTAGATATAACGGTATACGTTATAAGAAGGTAGGGAAAGATATAATTATATTATACATTATTAAGAAGAACAGAAGTCTTCTATACAGAAACAAAAAGAACTAGGAGGAAATCTAGTCAGAAGCTTCAGAAAGCAATAATTTATTATCAGACAAAGGTCAAGATAGCTCTCTTTATAATAAAGATTAAGAAGATTCCTCTCTTTATAAGCCTATAGAGGAGTAATCTACCCTGGCAGAAGATATTTAAGACAGTTAGGATACTAATATAGCTAAGCAAATATTATTTAAAGGACCTCTAGCTGTTATTATTCCTATAAAAAGAACTAAAAGATACTAGAAGTATTCTAAATTAAAATTAAGGAAACTATAGTATATAAATAAGATCCTATAGGATTAAATAAAAACGCTATTAAAACTCCTTAAGGAAATATATAAGTAAGAGCGCTTATAACCTAAAGATATTTCTAGGTCTGGTAACCTTAGTAGGTTATAGTTAGCTATACTTAATAAGAAGGGTATAAAGACGTCTATAATCGTAGATAAGTCTCTCTAGATCCTAGTTAAGACGCTTATAAATTATACGGAAGTAAGGCCAGTCAGTCTGGTTAAGGGAGACTAAGAAATAAGGATCAGTCAGTGCTAAAGAGTAAAAGCTCTTAACTAAGGCAGAGCTAGATACAGACAGATACAAAAAGATAGTAGGTACTTAGGCACGTATAGGCAAAATAACCAGAGTTTAAGTAAAGCTATACCTAGGGGTACTAAGGCTAATAGATATAGCTAGAGCAGCTAAAGTAAGCAGAATAGCTTTAGTAAGCAAAGTATCATAAGCTACCGAGATAGTATACTTAGTAGTAAATATCTTTACTATAGGATAGCCAGGGTTTTTCTTACAAAGTACGTCAATAAGAAAACAGAGAAAACCATCCGCCTCAGTACAGAATAAACAGTATAATTAACCAGCGCCGTACGTATAGTTTGTATATATATCCTTAAAGATAAGACGCTTATTAACGACCACAATAATATAGGAACTAAAAGGCCTGTTCTAATTTATATACTTCTTATAGCAGTCGTATACAGAAAGTTTATAACTAATATACTGTATATATACAGTACAGAGTTATAAAGGAGCCCTATAAGACTTAGGACTGTATCGCTAGTTTATATTATAAACAGGAATAATTTAGAGCTTTCCCTGCTCTAGGACAGACTTAAACAGGCTTATATCAGGATTATCGTTATTATTAAGGCCCGTATAATCTAGAGATACATTAGTAAATAATCAAACATATTCTCAAAAATAAATAAACTTACTAGATATATCTGATATACTACGCTTGGCTATAGAAGATCTGCTTACTGTTGTATATAAGCTATAAGATCAATAGATCAGGGTAAGTTTATCTTGCTCAGAATTAGGCTTAGAATTAGGCTCAGAAGATTACTTTTCTGTATAAGATTATCGTTTATCTATATAATTAGATACGATAACGACTTTAGGGGTTCTTTTCAGATAAAGACCATACTTAGTGGACAGGATAGTAGGTTTTGCTACAGAAGAATATTAACAAGGATATATAAAATACAACAGCCGTACGAAGCAAGGCTCTGGATTACAACTTACCTATAATAGAGAAGTATAGAATAGTTTAAATTAAGATAGTAAGATAAAGATAGCAAGATAGAGATAGATAAAAGAAAGAAGAGGTTTCAAAGTAGCCAGCAATATGCTTTTATCAATAATAATAACATACTGCTGCTCCTTCTATAAATAAAGCTATCTGTTTCTGCCTGTTTACTTATAATTAAGGCCATTCGTACCTAACATTAACAATACACATACGTAATACGTAGGTTAACTCAGCACTATCTGTTCTGACTGAAATCAAACATAGCGACCGTTTGATTCTAATCTTTTATAAATTCTTTTTGAAAATAAGAAACTTAAGGATAAGTTTCGTCTAGGTAGGGGAGGATATAATCCCTAAAGTACTATTACAGTATATTATATCTACTGTAGATAGCTTTTCTTATATATATAACCTTTTATATACTAGATACTACTTAATACATATAACTTCACTCTAGAATCTTACTATTATATATAATATATTATTATTATTCTTATTATTATAGATATTATTAGTAATATTATTACTAGTAATATTATTATTAGTATTACTAATATTATTAATATTATTAACTATAGATAGTAGTTAGACCTTAATTATATATATAGGGTCTATAGCTACCTTATTAGTAACCTATATCCTAGTTTTTATATAGGGTTCTAGGGTTTTAATACTATTAGGGTTTTTAGATAGCTTTCTACCTAAATTTTTAGAATATATATTTATTTTAGCCTTATCTATATACCTAAGGCTATTATTTTATAGATTAATATATTAGTCTTCTAGTATTAAGATATCTCTTAATACTATAGATAATCTTTTATTAGATATATAGACCTTATAGTAGCTATAGTTAGTATATCCTATTAGTATACCTTATATATAGTATTTTCCTACCTATATATAAGCTTTAGAATAAAAGTTAGGTTAATAATTTATAAAAATAAATTTAAAAATTTTTAATAAAATAGATATTAGGAATAATTAGACTAGAATATCCTAAATTAGGCTAGGATTAGTAGATCCTTAGTAATTTAGTATATACTTAGTAGAGACTCTACTTTATTTTATAATCTAGAATTAGTTATAGTAGGGAAAAGTAGTATTATATAGAAAATAGTATTAATCTGTTTAATTTAGAATACTATAGGAAACCTATTTAACAACAGATTATAACGATAAAGTATATTACTAAATAATACTAAGTAATAGAATAGTAAAACTAACTAATAATAATATACTTAGTTATAATACTTTAAAACTTCTAGTATTTTTTGGTTTAGTATATCCTATAGATAAGGCCCTATTATTATCTAACTATTAATATTAGAATTTAATTAAATAGCCTTATCCTATTCTCTTACTTTCTTTTTATATTTACCTTTCTACTACCTACTATAGGCCCTATAACCTTAATAAAGTAGAACAAATACTAGCCTAGTAGTATTCTCTTATTTTTTTTATAGAAATAAGAAATAAGTAGAAGATATAGCCGTCTCCTTTTATATATAGAGATTCTTTCTCTATAAACAGTAGGTTAATATTAAAGATATTATAGTAGAAAAATAGAGACAAACTTTAATTAAATAATAGGTAATAGCTAACTAGATATTCTATAATATAAACTTAATATTTTAAAGTAGTTAAATAGATTTTCTCTTAATAACTAATACTAAGATAGAGCTATAAATCCTAAGTATCAGCTAATAAGTATAAATTTAAAGACCCCAATAATATAAGACTTACCCCCTTCTTATTCCAGACACAAGTCTAAAAGTATCAGGATATATACCTTATAGGGTTAATCCAAAGATTAGACAACGTTTACATCTGTCTCACAAAATAGATACCCGAGATATAAGCCCTACTTATAAAGGGCCTTATCACGTTATTTAGGTAGATGGGTAATCAAGAATATATAACCACGACAATGTTAATATACTATCCTCTGGAAGATAACCAAGGAGATATTCTTAACACCTTTAAATTCCGACAGAGTCTCGCCCGGCCCGATTTCCTAGACGTGTGTATGACGGTTGAAGGAACTCTGCTGTTCTCGGACTGCTTCCCCAAGTTAATTATTGACGACCATACTCTTGAGACAGGACTCTGTCTTTGGGTTCAATATCAGAACAATAGAAGGCGAGAGAGGGCTTGGAGGGCTCAGATGTTTATGGATGAGTTCCCGCTTTTCTTTCTCGCGTTTCATGCCAATTCGGACCCGTTGGATGAGGTGCTCGAATATATGGAGAACGACAGACTTGAAGATGAGGATCCGGAGGTGATTTTGGAAGAGAAGCCGTAAGTGATATTGGTCCTATGCTAGTGGTGGAACGGTACTAATAAATTTTAGGGTCGATACGCATCGCCCCTTTGTGGAAATCTTTGAGAACGATCGGCGCGACGATGTGGACCGTTATGCTCCAGGGTTCCGTAAGGCTGAAGCGGCAGGTGACGGTTTGGCGATTGGATATGAATTAGAACGGATCCTTGCAGATAGCGGAGCCCCGTTAAAGATTAACGAAGGATGATTCTAGGTTAAGAAAAACGTTTGCTAGCATGGAATAACATCGTGACCACTACCGAGATCCCTCAGTCTGTGTCCTTGTGCTGAGAACGTCCGCTCCTGGGTACTACAGCGCTGCTCCTAGGGCGTCTGCAGTTCCCAGGAACAGGTATTGTGATCCTGGGATGTATTCATGCGATCCTAGGGCCGTCAAAAGAGTGATTTGGAGCTTAAAGCCTCCTGGTTCCTTTATATCGATGGCAAAGGACAGCGCTGATACACTTAGTTAAATTATTGATTCCTGGCTACAGAGCTTAATGCATATTCGAGGACTAATCGTATAACCATGGGGCCTCTATGTAATTACCAGGGCTTAGACAGATACGCCTTCCGACCGGAATTTCCCCGAAGGCCTGACAGCGCATCTTGTCTAAACATTCGTGCCGGTGATACTTTTCCTTGATAAAATCTGCATCAGGAACTCCAGTGTAACTTATACATACCTTATACATACGAAAATAATATTTTTAATGGCCTGAGAATATACTTGGGCACTAATTTTAGATAATGGTAAGGCTTCAACAGGCTCAATATCTTGAGATAAGAGTTTTTTCACGGGAGAACATCTTCGCTCAAATGATCATCTTCGCTTGGTTAATCGGGCCCGGCAAACTCTTAATTGGGACGAGATTTTTGATTGACCTCCCATAGGTGTAAGATCTTGTTCCGTATAGTCGTCCCGGTATGCCCATTCGATGAAAGGTGCGACAGTATATTATGGGTTGTTTGATTGAATGTAAATTCTTGTGGCCTAAGCGGTGTACGCTAATTCTGCTGGCATAATAGTAGGAAGAGGCACAACACCTCTCAAGGGACTGCGCATGGTTATGCTTCTCCAAAGTGTAGCAAGGAGAAGCGTAAAGCCAATCATGTCGAGCTAATACTATTGCACGGCCTGTGAACGCGATTCCAGTCGTTCTGAAGAATCAGTCCTCTTTTCACATTACAGTATAGCATCTCGAATATACTACAATCCTAGGCTATTATAGAGGAAAGTCTGATCATCTGCACCAGGTAGATAAAGGTAACTAGAGTCATAAGTTTCAATCCGGAATACTTGAATTTTGCGCTACTTTCTCTTACTACTCCGTCTACCTAATATATATCTATCTAAAATATTAATGAAGGAATCAGTATATAATTAATAATAGTTTTCTTAGTCCCGCTAGCGAAAGGTCCCACCCACTAGGAAGCTATAATTTATCTCCTAAAAACCACTACAACACTTTCAAAGTCTCTGTTTAAAATGATAATATAAAGCTATCCTGGACTTCTACTCTAGCAAGATTTTCAGTGTACAGAATTAGGGATTTACCAGTATTATTAGGTTAAAGTAAAGACAGAAAGTCTACTTTAAGCAAATTAAGGATAGAATAAGTTAACGAGCTATATAGAGCTCTATAGTAAAGTATGTCTCTTCCAGATTAATCTTTTACGGCCGAAGGACTTGACCTATCTCTGTAGGGTAAAGTATAGAGATTGAGATTCTGGAGTGAAGTTGTGTGTATTGAGTAGTATCTAGTGCATGAAAGATTATATATATAAGAAAAGCTATCTACGGTAGACGTAACAGGCCGTAATGGCACTTTGGGGATCATATCCTCCCCCACCTAGACGAAACTTGTCCTTAAGTTTTCTATTTTTAAAAAGAATTTGCAAAAGGTCAGAATCAAACGGTTGCCTTATTTAATTTCGGTCGGAACGGATGGTGCTAAGTCGATCCGTACGTTATGTATATACGTTGTTGATGTTAGGTATAAATAGCCTTAATTATAAGTAAACAGGTAGGAGCAGATAGCTTTGTTTATAGAAGGAGCAGTAGTATATTATCATTGTTGTTGACTATAAATATTATAATATCAAAAGCTTATTAGGTATCAAAGCCTATTAGTACCGGCACCTCTAAGGCCTCTAGGTCTAGCTATACTAAAAGCTCCGGGTGCTATTATACTGGAACTCTAGGTGCTGTTGTGCCGAAGCTCCGGATACAGCTATACTAAAGCTCCGGGTACTATCGTACCGGAACTCTAGGTGCCATTGTGCCGAAACTTCGGGTACGACTATACTAAAGCTCCGGGTGCTATTATACTGGAACTATCTACTTCCGGTGCTATATAATGCCTAAGGCCCCTAAGACCTAGTAATATATATAGGGCCTTCTCCCCCAAGAAGAACATAAGATAATAATTAGAATCCTTAATAATCAAGCAACCAAATCCTCTATCTTATTGATTACTCAGTAATCAACTATCTATAATTATTCCTCTCTATCTATATTCCCCTAAGCCTAGTAAGACCTTATCACTCTTATATTGACAAAAGTATATTGCTGGCTACTTTGAACCCTCTTCTTCCTTTTATCTATCTCTATCTTGTTATTTCTATCTTACTATCTTGCTTTGAACTATTCTGTACTTCTTTATTATAGGTAAATTATAATCTGGAGCCTTACTTTATACGGCTGTTATATTTTGTATATTCTTATTGATATTTTTCTATAGCAAAACCTACTATTCTGTCTAGTAAGTATAGCCTTTCTCTGAAAAGAACCCCCAAAGTTATTATTATATCTAATTATGTAAATAAACAATAATCTTATATAGAAAAGTAATCTTCTGAGTCTGATTCTAAGCCTGATTCTAAGCGAGATAAACTTACCCTAATCTACTAATCTTATAGTTTATATATAATAGTAAGCAGATCTTCTATAGCTAAGTATAGTATACTAAATATATTTAGTAAGTTTATTTATTTTTAAGATATATTTAATTATTTACTAATATATCTCTAGATTATATAGGCTTTAATAATAATAATAACCCTAGTATAAGCCTATTTAAGTCTGTCCTAGAGCTTTCCCTACTCTAAATTATTCTTATTTATAATATAAACTAATAATATAGTCCTAAGTTTTATAGTGCTTCTTTATAATTATATACTATATATATATAGTATATTAGTTATAAACTTTCTGTATATAATTATTATAATAAATATATAAACTAGGATAGACCTTTTAGTTTCTATATTATTATAGTTATTAATAAATAATATATTTTTAAAAGTATATATATAAACTATATATATAGTACTAATTAATTATATTATTTATTCTATATTAAGATAGATAATTTTCTCTATTTTTTTATTAATATATTTTATAAGAAAAACCCTAGCTATTTTATAGTAAAGATATTTATTACTAAGTATACTATTTTAGCTATTTATAATACTTTATTTACTAAAGGTATTCTATTTACTCTAGCTACTCTAACTATATTTATTTAGTCTTAGTAACCCTAGATATAGCTTTATTTAAACTTTAGTTATTTTATCTATATATATCTAAATATTTATTATCTTTTTATATTTTTCTATATCTAACTTTACTTTAGTTAAAAGCTTTTATTCTTTAGTACTAACTAATCTTTATTTCTTAGTCTTCTTTAACTAAACTAACTAACCTTATTTCTATATAATTTATAAGTATTTTAACTAAAATCTAAAGAGACTTATCTATAAATATAGATATCTTAATATTTTGTTATTAAATATAGTTAACTATAATCTACTAAAATTATTAAATCTAAAAATATCTTTAGATTATAAGTATTTTTATTTATATATTTTCTTAAAAAATTTTAATAATATTTTTATTTAATTCTATAGAATCTTATTTATATACTATAGTTTTTTTAATCTTAATTTAGAATATCTCTAATATTTTTTAGTTCTTTTTATAGAAATAATAATAATCAAAAATTCTTTAAATAATATTTATCTAGCTATATTAGTATTCTAATTACTTTAAATATTTTTTACTAAAGTAGGTTATTCTTTTATAGACTTATAAAAAGAAAAATCTTCTTAATCTTTATTATAAAAAGAATTATCTTAATCTTTATCTAATAATAAATTATTATTTTTTAAAGCTTCTAATTAAATTTTCTTCTAGTTCTTTTTATTTCTATATAGAAGACTTTTATTTTTCTTAATAATATATAATATAATTATATTCTCTTCTATTTTCTTATAATATATATTATTATATCTAAGTTTATTCTATTCTTCTTAAGTAAATATAGATAAATCTAAGTATATAGAAAAAGATTTTTTTTTAAGGATTTTCTATAGCTTCTTAGATTATCTTAGGTAAATTTTAGCCTATTTTATAGTATTTTTTATTATTAATAATATCTATAATTATATAGAATTTATTATATTTATTTTTAGAAGCTAAAATCTATTAATAAGATTCTTTAGTATAAAGTTATTTAGCTCTTTAAAAGTATATATCCTAAGTAGATAATTTTTAAAAATCTAATATAGTCTAAACTTATAACGGGCCCAGGCCCGAGGAGATATCACACAATATCATGTAACCTTTTTATAAGACTGTACGTCTTACTAGGCTCAGGGAAGTAGAAGGTAGATCAGATGATTCAATAAGAAGCTGTTGGTTGGTAATAGATAGGATGATTGATGTATTGCATGGATGTGTATATTATTAGGATTGCAGGAGATTGAGATGCTATTTATCCCTGAGGTTTAGCAGGCCTCAGGCCACCATTATTAGTAATTATAATGGTCACACGACAATAAGTCGTCGTAATGTATTAATCATGATTCGCATCGAATTGTAATTGATTGTATAGGTTGCCATAGTTAGCACCATAGTCAATTATGTAAGTGGCAGATAGCCAGAGTTGCCACAGCATCCAGATAGTTTGCCACTATCGATCAGGTTCCATGAGGTTCCATTAGGCTCAATAGGCTATTGCTATATATTCAGATAGTTTTTATAGTAAGTTTATTATTTAGTAGCATTTAGTATTCTAGAAAGTATATAGTAGTATTATACTATTCTTCTTTAAAGACTTAAATAATAATTTAAAAGTATTTAACTATCTTAGTTATATTAAGAGTAATATTCTATATTAGTTAGGATTTTAATATATTTATAGA